GTGTCAGGTTCGACTGCTCATGTGAGCATTTAGTCATGAAGAGGCTGCATATGTGCTCCCTGAGTGCAGGAATGACAGTAAATAAACACAGCATGCACGCACACGCACACACACACACACACACACACACACACACACATCGAGGTGACGACGTAAGGGGGAGACGGGGGGGGGGAGGAGGCTGTTTTTATGCCTGATGTTGCGTTCGGGTCGCTGGCTCGACGTCACATGTCAGAAAAGCTCATCTGTGCGATGGTGAAGTTTCCAAGCTGCTGAATTTGGGTCGAATGGGGTCAACAGGAGATCCCCATCAGGATCCCCTCCCAGGACACAAGCGCTCATACTGTTCAGACACAGTCAAACACGTCTGCGGAGACAAGGAACGCACGGCAGGAATCCAGAGTACCGAATTGAGTCTTTGGTTTTTGTTTTTTTGGGACAAACCCAACGAGCGAGGATCGATTGGATCGAGTCGCCTCGTGTAAATCATTGTCAGCCGTCCGCGTCCAATCGGAGACTCGTCTTTACTTTGTAATTAGCTGAGAAACAGGACGCCATTTGTCTCGTGAAAGGCTGAGGCCAATGAGGGTCCGAGCGCTCGACGGTCAACGGGGTGATTTATAATCTGACCTTAACGTTACATTGGGGCGCGTTGGTGATATTGAATCCTTGCTAAATCGCTGCTAATCATGACGCAGTAACAACCATAGCGGCTTTGTTGACCTTTCTAAGACCAGAAATGTAAACGCATAGATGTTGATGCTGCACACATTAGCATGTTGGGCTAACAAGCTACAAGCAGAGTGACCCAGCGTTACTGGATGACATCATTAACCTGTCGACTCCTTCGTCTCAAATGAGACATTATTCATGGTCATAAATCGTGAACTGGCGTCACACATGTGAAGCGATAAAGATTTACGAGCTCCGCAGAGCGATTTACCCAAAGTGCCTCGTCCATTAATCAGCAGATTGTGTAAAAGCATCAAAAAGATCATAAAATCGCACCGAGTTGATCTGAAGACCGACAAAGCGGAGAGAACGAACACATTACGAGATGTAACGTCGCCGGCGTCACAATTCACTGCAACATCAGCGTCGGCGTGCTGAAGCAGGTGATTCGTATGTAGAGGGAAGTGTGTTTGTGGCGTTTTGCGTCCAGCCTTCTCGTGGTTGACTCGACCAACGCTCACATTACACACGTCGGTGAAGAGTCAATGTCCTTTTTTCGTTTTGCATCGATAAAGTTGAAGGTTCACATTCGTCTGATTGGTCGGAGCTTTGTTCTTTGCAACCAGATTCATGCTGCACGTACACCCACTGTCCTTTTAAAGACATTATTTCTGCAAAATAAATGGTCTCTACAGAGGATTACTGGCACACAACGTGCACACGCACACAAACAGGAAATGCTGGAAGACACAAGCTCAGGCACGTTTGCAAACGGGCAGCGTCCCCGTGCACATGCATGCTCACACACACACACACGCACGCACGCACACACGCACGCACGCACGCACACAACCAGGCCGGCACAGAAATAGCGCAGCTCCTCCGGTCCGGAGGGCGGGTGACGGAGCTGTAAGCAAAGGAGGCAGATGCGGCAGTGAGTCGCCGGAGGACATCGCTGGATATTCAAGCTTCACTGGGCCTCTTCATCAGCGCCCTCTGATGCCTCAGCCTCATGACCGACAACGCGCGCACACACACACACACACACACTTCCAGCACAGAGCTGGTCGGGCCTTTTTCTGCCTTTTGCACAAGAGGGGAATTGGGTAAGAATTAGAACAGGCTCATTGCTCATCGAGCGCAGACACACACACACACGAGTTAGACGGAGGAAACCGTGGAGGATGTAGGTTACGGCGGACTGAGTCTCTGCTAATTCAGGAGTATCTAGGGTTAACTCTTTCTGTGTGTGTGTGTGTGTGTGTGTGTGTGTGTGTGCTACACAGCCCAAAGACAGTCAGCACAGCGTTTGCGCTCCGTGAACGGCAGCGTTTTAATTGGCCGGCTAAATGTCAGATACTCGATGTGTGGTGCAGATACTCGCCGGTTTGTAAAGCTTCATTATTTCCTCCCCGGTGTACGTTACAGACGTGACGCAACAGCTGTAACGTTTACTGCCAACACGTGCATCATGGAAGGAATCCGTCCGTCCTACAGGACGTCTGCAAACTGTCGTTCGCTCCACTGACCAGCAGGGGGCGACTGCTACGGTCACAAACTAGACGCCCGTCTATAGAACGTCTTCTTCTCATTTCATTTATTCCCCCCAGTAAACATTTTGATTTGGAGTTTACAGCCTTGATTGCTAGTTACACGTTTATAAATAGATAAGTGACGGCCCGTTTAGGTTTAAATAGAGCCGTGCTTTAGGGCGGGCTTACTGTGATTGACAGGTCTCTAGCACGTATCTGTACGTCACTCCACTGCATCCCAAATATTTGTATAGCGTTTGAATCGCCCGAATTCTAGGCTGCAGAACTTCTGCCCACCAACACACGGGTGACACACGGGTGACACACGGGTGACACACGGGTGACACACGGGTGACACACGGGTGACTTCGTCCACTTCTTATACACAGTCTTTAAAAATACACTCACACGAATGCTGCACATCCATTACAAGCTGTATGAAAGCTAATTTCATGTTTGTCTGTCAAAATGACTCTTTAAAACACTCTCCTCTCTCTCTTCCTGTCTCTCTCTTCCTCTCTCTCTCTCTCCCTCTCTCTCTCACACACACTCACACACACACCTCATTTTGTCACCGGCATGTCAAGTCGTGTGGAAAACACAAGGGAAGCTTTTTCTTTTTTTTCTACGTCGGGACAGAAACAGCGAAATGCAATAACCTGGGACAAAAGTGCTGACATCTGAAGATGACGCTCGGCTGCAGCTGGAACGAGGACGACAGACAGACTGCGGCAGACAGACAGGCAGACAGACAGGCTGACTCTCCTCTCTGGCCCTTCTGATCCTCTTACGCTTCCCCCTTCTTCTTCTTCTTTATTCTCCACTTCCCCCATTTAACCCATTTCCTCTTCTTCTTCTTCTTCCCTCCCAACACATCTGTATGTAAGCAGCAGCTTCATCTGCCCCCCCCCCCCCCCATCCTCGTCTTCCTCCTCTCCTCCACCCGCTGCCTCGCTCTGCTGCCTGATTAGTGGGATCGACCGCCGGCGAGCCTCTTGGTTGAATGGAGGACAGAACCGGACGCTCCACTTACAGACACTCGTTCCTCAAACACTGTTTAACACGGCGGTGGATGGAGGGGGGGTGTGTGAGGGGGGGGGCAGGACAGAAGGCCGAGGGAGCTGCACACTTCTTCAAACCCTCTTAACGTACGATGTTCTCGCAAACTGGGGAGGGACGTTCGAGTGTGTCGAGTCGAGAGGGAAGACGGCGAGAAGCAGAATATGAAGAGAACGAGGTGATAACTTCAAAAAGGTCATTATCAGAACTGCAGGCTGAAGACACGCTCCGATCGCGCTTCGATCACGGTGTGAATACGTCACGGATAACGGAGCGAACTTTCCTCCGATTTCCAAAACAACACACCAGCCGTCACCTCCGGGGGACCAACAAAGAGGGTCTCCTGGTGTCGCGTGACATGCAGCCGGTCTGGGGCGGCCCAACGCCTCCATCATGGATATATAATATACATAATATATAGTGTATATATGTTGATGGGTGTACAGACACAAGAAGCACCGCACAGCCGGCCAAACCAGTTGTATAATGTCTATTTTGGTTTGTGAAGGGGGTGTTGTGTGGGTCCGCGTTATTCTCTGCTTGGAAGACACATAAGAAAAGTTACCACAAAGACTGTGGGCGTGAGAACAGGGGTCAAAGGGCGGCAGGGAGGCGACGCCTCTTAAGGTCCGTTTAGACCACTAGCTGAGTATAATGGATGAGATGGGGGCGATGCGCACGTGTGTGACCCGCGTTCTGGGGGCCGACGCGGGCCGGAGGAGGGTTTGCGCTGGGTTTTATTACCACTATTAATAGAGTTTTGCCGTTTGGGCGATTAGGAGCTTATCGGGGGGGGGGGGACCCCGGCTCAGAGCGCCTGCAGCCACCACTTTTAATTTTCGTCTACACGTTCTAATCCGCAGGACTTGAAAACAAGCCATCTGCTCCTGCTACTACCTGGCCTACATGGGCCTGAGCCCCCCCCCCCCCCACGCCCCCTCTCCGGGCTCCGTCAACCCAACAACAGCAAAAAGACACAGAGGCACCGCAAATAACAAACTGGCACCATCAGTACGGGTCCACGAGGAGGAGGAGGAGGAGGAGGGCTGCAATAAAAGGTAAGGAAATAAAAGGGAGCCAGAAGTCCACTTAGAGCGAACTCAGCACACACAGTGAGCCACTGCCCCCCCCCTTCCACTACAACTATCCACCACAAACCCTCCCCGTATGAGAAACAATGACATGCATTTCACAGAACCGGGCCTGCACGATGCAATTTGCAACATGCATGCCCCATCCTCACCCCCCCCCCCCCATCCCCCATCCTCACCCCCCCCTCCCCCCGGTTCCCCCACCGTGGACAGCGGTCGACGCACGCAGAGATCTGACAGCCGTGACAACCTCATGCACTAGAAAATGACTGATTTATTCCTGCACGGATGCATCGTAAGCAGCAAACCTGCCCCCCCTCATCACCCCCCTCATCACCCCCCCTCCTCCTCCCCGAATGACACTGCTGTTTCAGCGTGAGCCGTGAAAACCCGCAGACGAAATGCAGAAATAAAATAAATGGATAAAGATTTCGCCTTCACAGCCCCCCCCATGCAAGAAGAAACAGCGGCCACATTCTCCGTCCATCGCATCGGCAAACAAAGCGCGTTTTCTGTCTCGGATAAAAAAAAGCCCGGCACCTACCTGCTCGTCCCGGGGGGGGGGGGGAGGGGAGAAGAGGGGAAGGAAGGGACGAGGGAGGGAGGGGTGTGGGGGGGGGGGGGGGGGGGGTGTCGAAGAGCTCACATGTCCCGCCGCTCGCTGTGGCTCCGCTGCGGTGGATGTTATGATCCGAGTGGGCGCCGTTATGTGTCTGCGAGCGCCATGTTATCATCCGCGAGCCACTGTGCGCTCCCGTGTGCGCTACATCCGGGCTACTGGCGGGGCCGGCGAATGAGCGGGGAGGGGGAGGGGGGGGGGGGGGGGGGGGGCGGGGGAGCGCGCACGCGACGCGCAGCACCTGTGCGCTCTTCGGAGCGTCAGCGGCGCGCGCCCTCCGGAACCCTCCGGGGCGCGCGCGCGGGTTTTTTTTTTTTTTTTTTTTACGACGAAGAGGTTTTTAATGGGGGACTCCCACCTGGAACGGTTCTTCTTATTGGAGCTTCTCAAAATAATAATAAATGAGGGTTTTGGCTAAAAATAATTAAAAAAAATAATAATAATAATACATCCAAACTGACCCATTGGGGGATAAATGAATGGAAGAAAACAAACAAACAAGATCAACAAGCAAATAGCCGGTGTGTTATTGTGTTGGGGTTTGAGGGAATGTTCACAAACGCATGAATTTACTGTAGTCTGAATCAATCAATCATTGTCTACGGGATCAAGAATCATCATCATGAAGCGTCTGGGTTTGAGCGTAAAGTGAAATAAAGCAGGTTGGCCGCTGTTTCCCAAGACGCCCACTAATACTTTATAAGTCCTTAATGCATCTGGGAGAGACACTAGTAGTGTATAAGGCCTAAATGGTTGAATATTCTCATGGAAAAACTGTAGTAGCTGATGGACAAAAAAGCTAAAAATAGCAGAATAGATAAATTAATGTGCCAAATCACATTATTGTTGCATGACACCAAACTCAACTAAGCGGCCCCCCCAACATTCAACAGTATGAATAAAACATTGCAAGATTCCACTTTTACTTAATGGTTTACACCTGCTTCATAGAGCCTGTGGGCTTCGCGTTGAATTGACCTGCAATCGACAGTTGAAAATCCGCCTGTAGGACTCCAGAAGGCCTCCCTGCTCTCGCCGCACACGCACCACGCGAGGCACTTGGAGACCCTCTCCTTGCTCCGATGATTTGTCCTCTTGTGATGGCCTCGCTCGCTCCGTCTTCCCCCCCATAAAATCCCTCAGGGAAATGTGAGCCGGGCCTGTACGCAAACACCCCCCCCCCCCTCCCCTCCCCCAGCCCGGGACTATTCCAGGCTGTGCTGCACTTATTATGGGCTTTATGGACAGCCACATCCCTCACATGGCCACGTCAGATAATACAATGATGCTCGGTGTTAATTACGCCGCTATTATCATCACATTTTAGGTGGAACATCACGTTTATTGGTCCTGCTAGTGTGTTTTGACCCGGTCGTGAAAGCCCCCCCAGTGAGGACTTGACACCTCCATCTAGTGGCGGATCGTTGGACGCCACAGTCTCCGACTCAACGAGTCCCGAGTTGTTTAAACTAGTGGCTGCTGGTCGTGTCTCCGAGGGAACAATGTTCTCCTTTGTGATGTCAGATGTATCCCATAGTGACCCGTGCACACACACACACACACACACACACAAGGATAAACATGTAAACACAAACTCAGGTCTCTGCAAAGCACGCTGCTGTCCCCATGGCAACTGTAGCAACAGAGTTTTCTTTGAAGGCGCCTCCTTCAGTCTCAACAAACACACACATCTACAGGGAATCATAGGAATCCACAAATCTGACCTTTTTACCCAATGTGGGGATTATATCGCAGAAGTGTCTCTTTGAGTCTCCAGTCGGCCCGTTATCGGACCGTTAGTGGGAAGGAGGACGCCGTTTGTTGGAACGAGGCCCGGACGCTTATCGGAGGCTGATGGGGAAACCTGCTCCTGCCAGGCGGCTCTCTTCTGCCCGACAGCAGCCTGCACCTCCTTTCTCCTCACCCCCCGCCTCCTTTCTCCTCCCTCGCCCATCAGACAGCACACGTCACGACCACACGGTCCGTCCACTGAAAAGAAGAGCTGTGATCGTCATCACCTCCCTGATCACGTGACACAAACAGATGTGCTGAGCGCATAGTGTTGAGGAAACGACTGTTTCCAGCTGTCGACAATCCAACCCAGACTTTACCATTGATCCAACGCTCCGGGTCACACGGGGCTCGCTGTGGTGGTCGCCTTAAAGCCGTGGTCGCCGCGCCGAGGCCCAGGACGAGGCGGGCCGACCTTCCCCCGCCGACCCTCCGCGAACGAGTGCGTTTCGCACAATAAGTTGATCAAGGGTCTTACGTCGGGAGGCGAGGCCCCGGTTCTCCGATGGAGAATGTATTGTATCCGTGCGACAGAGAAGGCGTCGACTTCACAATGATTAAGTGGCCTTGAGACGCGGCTTCATTCCCTTTGTCCATAAGACAGAGACGTATGGAGACGGAGTCAGGGGAAGTTCAGAATGCTGCGGGGTCACGTGACTCAGGCCCCAGATAGATTCCAGGAAGCACTTGGCAGTCAATTTGCATGCGTAGATATCGCTAGAAATCGCTACAAACAGACAACAATTTGTGTTGATAAGATGCAGAGTAGAATTGGCGGATGTTCTAGAGGTTCCCTTGTTTAGAGGAACGCCGTCGGATTTAGGTGCATCCAGCGGTGAGTTTGCAGATTGGAGAACAATGGCGGTACGGAGACGTGTCTTCAGGGTCTCATCGCCCCAAAGGAGCTCTGTTCTTTTTCACGACTTAATAATAGTTTTTACAACCAAAGAAAATCACACTCTTGGTTATTCGTCTCATCCGACAAGATACAGGGCGGTTAATCAATATACTGCCGACTGTATAATTACCGCTGCTGTGTTTAGATACAAAAACACTTGTCTGCTTATCAGTCGGAAGAAATGCTCCGTTCAACAGATTCCAGTGCAGCCACACAAACACACACACACACACACACACACAACCAGGGGCCGCACCCTCCACTAATGTGCAGCACTGCGAGCCACAGCTGGCCTCCTGACGCTCGGGTAATCAATGTGTGTGTGTGTGTGTGTGTGTGTGTTTCATCTTGTGGGGACATCAATCTGATGACACATTCGCACTGTGGGGACTCACGTTCTTTGGGGGGACAATCTGGGGCCGATCGCATTTGAAGCAATGGCTTGTTTTAAGGGTTGGAGTGAAGATAAATCCAGGTTTAGGGTTGAGGTTATAGTTAATATTAGGAGTATATTTATATATATATGTATACAAGATGCTTTTCATTCTCTCTCAGTTAAGGAACCAGTTGCATAAATGTCAGCCGCTGGATTCTTGGAGGATCATTTAGTCTTTCTGCCATTTCTGGTTCAGCTCGGATGATCGCTGATCCAATAACGGCGAGAGGACAAGCGGTGCAGCCGCGTCAATCCACACACGTCAGAGTCGCGCGTCGTCGCCTTTAAAGTCGTTGGGTCGTTTAAAGTTCCGGGAACCAGAACTTGAACGTCGTTGCAGCTGAGACACAGCAACCCAACAATCATCCAGAGACGTCATGAAGCAGAAGGAAGATCGGTGACCGAACCCGAGAGAGGCCACGCGTGACCCCCGCAGCTGCAGGTCGCCGTGAGTCACTTGGCGAGAAAACAGCAGCGAGTCCTGACTCGGTCGTCTATCTGCCGTAATTGCGTTACTGTGCGTGGCGTTGACGGGACCGTCCCATGACCGCTCCACGGGGGCAGGGAACCACATCGGCATGCAGGCACGCCATTGTGCTGCAGCAAAGAATAGAACCTTTTTACGAAATGTTATGATATTTTCTTTCCGGGCCTCGAAGAGCTGTTCCACCTTCTCCTTCTTCTTAGACTGTAAGACTCCACAAGTTAACGCCAAAGAAAAGGCAACATAAACAGAAGTACATTCATATGTAAAACAGAACCCGCTAACACATTACCCGTTGTGTGTTATTTGGATGCGCTGCGTGACGTGAGAGGGTGTGGTGTCTCTCCGGGGCGGTGAGGGGCGGTGAGGGGGGGAGGGTTTTCGCGGCTATAAGAGAGCGTGTCCGACACGCTCGGCCACAAGCCGACTGATTCTGCGCCTGCGGCCTGCAGCCCCCGAGTGCACCTGAGGACCCAACCGCAGAACAGGTGAGCAAAGAATGCAAAATGCTTCATAATCCTGATCGTTAAAAAGCAGAAGTCAAAGTCTAGAAGGTTCACCAGCTCTTGGAAAAGAGGCACTGCTGGTTAGCGCCCTGGTGTGGAGGAACGCTTGTGCAGTGGTGCATCAAATGAGTCAGAGAAAATCGATTTAAATGTAGAAATTGTCCGTTTGATTACTGTGAGTTGATTGACCATGTTAACAAGACGACAATGTGATTTATTTATCGCTTATTTATCAAACTTGTTGTTTCTGGCTGATAACAGAACGGAGGTCGATGGATCATTAGCCAACAGTAATTGAATTTGCAGTCACAAGAACAGATATCTATATTATTCACCATTGTTACATTCCGCTCTGAGTGCACATGTGCCATTGATGAATGCCTCAATCAATACATTGTGCTCCTGCATGACGCCATAATTAAATCAGGGCATTCCACGGCATTCAGTGAGCTTCAGTTATTCATTCAGAGACAATCATCCAATGCACCTCTCCGGTGATGAGACTTGCTGAAGAGTCCTCTGCTGGTCACCAAAATAACTATTTCCAAGTTTTTAGCTGCCTGGAGGGGTTTGTTTCAAGCACCAGATCTCCATTTTCCCAGAGATCTAGTTTGGCTTTGTTCTATTCTGAGTGTCTGTTATAAAAAGAAGCTCTACAATAAATAAAAGCGCACTTGTTGTTCTTCTGGCAGGCAGCATGGATGTGAGCACCTCATCTCAGATCTCCACACCGGTAAGAATCACTGCAGTAATTTCCTCCACATTCTTCCATCTAAACGAAAACGCTTGAATTTGTTCTGCTTGAGTCAAACGGCGACGAACTGCAAGTTGGTGTCCTCCATCCTGTCCACGCTCTCTCTTCCTCGCATCTCTGTTCTGACCCCTGACCCCGACCCTTCTCCCCACCCCTCCCCTCCTCTCTTTTAGATTCAACCAATTACAGACATTTTATTCATTTAGAGCAAAAGGTTGTCTGCTTATGTCTGTGGGCGCCCTTGTTGTCAATGCTGAACCATGCACGCCGCCGGTCCTTTCGGCAAGCGGACGTCCCCGTCTTTCTTTGTCCAGGTCAACCAATCACGTCGGGGGTCACCAAATTGAAAGATCATGAACAAAATTGGAGGCCCGTTTTGGGGTTATTCTGTACTAATTCAGCCAAACAACGTCTCTCGTTCTGGTAGACGTATTTGTCAGATACAGAAAAGATTTCTATTGGCCCCAAACTGGCGTTGAGGAGGAGCAGGTCCTCTCGTTGCAACACAAGATCCGATCACATGCAATGTGTGGTCTTCTAACATGATGTGAACATAAGGAACAAAGCGTGGTGCTTGGTGTGTCTCTAAATCTCGTCCTTATCCGACCTGCGTCTGCCTGGTTGACACTTTCTGCTTTTCCTCTGGCCTTGTACTCCTCGAGACAGTGACTCCCTAAATGAGCACTGGGAAAACGTTTTTGATTATCATCTCCCTCCACCTCCTCCTCCTCCTCGCCTCCTTCTCAGCACGCTGACGCTCTGTGTGGCGGTTGCCCGTCCTCTGGCTCCTCCCCTCAGGCTAACGGCCTCTGGCCCAGCACGCCGCAGTCTGGAGCCGCCTCGCCCGCGTGGCCGGGGCAGCCCGCCCAGCCCACGCCGTGCTGGACCGGCCAGCCGAACACGCCGTGCTGGACTGGGACGCAACCGGTCACGACCTCCGTCGGGGCGCCGAGTTCGTTTCCGGGCCCCGCACCTGTCACGACCGCGGCCCCGGCTCAAGTGGCAGCTCCGGCTCCGGTGCAGCCCTGCTGGCAAGGAACCCAGTGCCAGCCTCCCCAGTACCAACCACCCCAGTACCAGCCTCCCCAATACCAGCCTGCCCAGTACCAGCCTCCCCAATACCAGCCTGCCCAGTACCAGCCTCCCCAATACCAGCCTCCTCAGCCCCAGCCAGCCCTTTACCAGCCTGCTCAGTACCAACCATTACAGCCCCAGCCCGCCCAGTACCAACCAACACAGCCCCAGCCTGCCCAGTACCAACCATTACAGCCCCAGCCGGCCCAGTACCAACCATTACAGCCCCAGCCTGCCCAGTACCAACCATTACAGCCCCAGCCTGCCCTGCCGCCGGCTCCGATTCCAGTACAAGCCCCAGCTCCGACTCCAGCTCCGACTCTGACTCCACACCCGGTCCCGGGCCCGGCTCCTGGCACCAGCAGCCGCCCGAACGTGCAGCTGTGGCCCGGCCACCCCGGCTGGCCTTACAACCCGGGTCAGTCCGGGTGGCCGGGGCAGAATCCAGCTGTCCTGCCTCCACACTGGCTTCCGCCCACATCTGGACCTCTTGTGAGTCAAATCGGACTTAGAATAGAAGGCACTGGTCGTTACGCGTGATACGTTAACGCTGTTCTCCCGCTCCGGCTCTTCAGAGTGTTCCGTACAACCTGAACCTCGCCCGAGGCGTCTACGACAAGATGATGATGACCATCCTGGGCCACGTCAAACCCAACGCTAAAATGTGAGCCCGGTTAAGAACCATTGCCTTTCAACTTCACGTTCTTTCAAAGTCCATGTCGTTTGCAGTTCAGTTGTTTATATGATGTGTCAAACCGCCCCCCAGGTTCACCGTGAACTTTCTGAGAGGCAACGACATCGCCTTCCACATCAACCCCCGCTTCAGCGAGGGGGGAAAGCAGGTGTTGGTCCGCAACCACAAACTGGGAGAGCGCTGGGGTGCCGAGGAGAGGGACCTGAAGGGGCCCTTCCCCTTCGCCCTCGGCAGCCCGTTTGAGGTGAGTGCGAGGAAGAGGAATCGGGCGATAACGTCAGCTGCCTCGCTCATTTGGAGTCACCTCGACTGTGAGCGTCACCGTCCGCTATTAATCCAACACGTAAACACGAGCTGCTGATTGTTGTTGCTGTGGTGTTGTGCGTTCCTCGCGGGAGGACTTTCATAGTTGGCGACTGACTCCGGGTCACTTTCTCATGGTTAAGGCTAACGTTTGGAAAAGATGGAAGGGGCGGGTCCTAGGTAAGGGAACTGCTGCACAGCAGGAAGACTCCTGGAGGTCAGTGGGGGTGTCGTGTTGCTCAATAACATCAGAAACAACTAATAACTAATCCGGAGGGCTGATTCTGTCTGCGTGTCAATAACAAATGGGTTCATAGACCTTCAATCTGTGTAGCTTTTAAGGAGCCGGGTTCAATTGGGTGCTGCTATTTGATCCCTATCATACGATAAATTTTAACTCTGTGGAACGACTCCTCCGACATGAAATCACGAATAAATGGCGCGTCTTTGTCTCCCCCGGTCGGCGCCCCGATGATCGCCGTGTGCTCTGTTCCAGATGAAGATCCTCTGCACTCAGGAGACGTTCAGGGTGGCGGTGAACAACATCCCGCTGTTTGAGTTCAGACACCGAGTCCGAGAGCTCAACCAGGTGGACAGAATCAACATCCTGCACGACGTCGTCCTCACCTGCGTCAACGTGGAGACACTTGCGTAGGACACAATGTGATTGTGTAAGCTGCAGGAACTAAACCTAGTTTATCATGATGCTAACAGACGTGTCGGTATGTGATGTAAAGATAATTAAGACACGAGCGGAGTTCATTCTTTAATATGCTAATTCCTCCAAAGCGCTAATACCGTTTAATACACACAAAGCTCTGCGTACGCTACGGCAATGTTTGGACACAACAATATTATAACAATATTTTCTATATTAAATTGCTACTAACTAAAAATACTAAACAATGAGGGATTTTACTTCTTCTCAAATAAATAAAAGGTATCAAATATCTGGTCACACGTTTTCATTGTTTATTGAAAAATAAAGTCCCAGTAGAACATTGAAAATTGTCACTACGAAAACATACAGAAGCAACGTTAAAAAATACTGCTTATTATATACACATAAAGGAACTAGCTTCAGCTAAAGAAATCTGTAATTAAACACCATTAGCACAATTCAGATTGTATTCAAAAGTATTCAATTGTAAAAAAATATATATTCTCGCAAAATAATCATGAATTGTTACAAATAGCTGAGCACATTAATTTCACCCGAGAGCATAAAAATGTGACTTTGTGGAACGCCACCCGAAGGACATATTTAGCATTTGTGTCCTCACTACTGGCTGTTTGGAAGTCCTCTCGGTGTAACTTCATTCGACCTTCTGGTGTCTCCCTTCATAATAATTATATTTCATTACCTTCACGAAAGCTGATTTTAAAAAAGTGGAGAAAAAAAACAGACAAAGAGCTGTGACAACACAAAACAATGAGGCAACCTCTACTGGGTTTCAGTGCATAATGCTCAGCATTCATGTCTTTCACATGTTCTCTCCATTCAGTCCGTGAATAAAGTTCCAAAGATCTCCGTGCAAATATCATGCGTGTGTGCGCATGGAATAAATCGTGCTCAGGTCTTGCTCTCTAGTCTCCTCTCCACAGACCTCAGCAGCAGCTCAGCGTACTGCTCCAGCAGAGCCCGGGTGTTTTCCCCTTCACCTTTGACCCCTGGGTCCACCCGGGCGGGGTGAGGCAGCGAGTCCAGCTCGGCCTTGACGGCGACCAGGGCCTCGGACAGGATGCTCCTCATTTCCTGCTGGTCCTCACCGAGCCGCCGGTCGCTTTGAAGGACCTGGATTTAATGAAGAAGTTGATGTGACAAACAGACGAGGATATAAATGAAACTCCATGTGTGCACCTGGAAGAGGACACTGAAATCACAGAATACAAATGAAAATATGTGGCAACAAACTATTGTTTTCATCAGCAGGGAGTCGGTCAGTTATTTTCACCAGACAATTAATAACGTTTTACGTAATTACGTTCTGACATTAGAGAAGCAGCAATGTTGGAGCTAAATATTGTCGTCCTTTTGCTCAACTCAAAACACACAACTGGTTTTCAATAACTTCTTTGTGTCGATTTTCCTCCACTGGAAGAACTGCTTCCTTTTGTCTATTAAAGTGAACAACCTCCAAAAGTTAAATGACCTGAGACAAATGGTGCATTAAAACTAAATGTAAAGGGAGAAATATAACAGCAGTAATGTCTGTCGTGTATCTATGACGATAAGAGGGATATGAGAGACACACACACACACACACCGTAGAGTAGAACATCGCGGTTTTCTTCAGGCTGTTGCGAAGCTCCGTAACAGCCTGCCGACAAGTTTCCAAGGTGATGGAGGGATCTGCAGGGAGGGAGAGAGAGAGAGAGAGGCCTCTTTCAAGTACGGTGCTGCCTGTTGCGAATCAGAGAGGTCACAAAGACGCACATCGTGCACAGCGGCTGCACGCGGACACACAGTTATTGAGCCGGCGCGGCACGCGGTAAATGCCGAGCGAAAGGTGGAATAACGTCGAAAACAACAGGGAGAAACCTGCAGAAGAGAAGCTATAGAGAAAAAAAGCGGGCGGCCACACAAACACCCAGAGGGGGGCCGCGCGGGGGAAAACATTTCCACGTTTACTCTCTCCGGGATAAACCCAGTGTGTAGTTTTAAATGGTGGCGAGAGGTGGATTTATAGTGTGTTGCGACTCTCTGATCTCTCCGGGGGGGGGGGGGGGGGGCCTTGTTACCTCTCGCAGAGACACGGCGGACAAGTTCATCTCAGTATTGAATCTCAGATATTGAATTACACCCCTTTACCCTGTTAAGGAGACCAAACAATCAGCAGAGACTAGTAATGAGTTCAGATTTCAATTTGCAAAGTTTTCAAACAAAAGCAGCACAACAGCACACTGCAAAGACTGTGGACTCACCCACGTCCTCCGAGTGGGGGGGCCCAGAGACACACGCTTGATGACAGACGGGCTTGGGCCGGTGACGGAGGGGGGGGACGGCAGCGACGGACAGGTTGAGCAGGGCAGCCGGACCTGGCTGGGGATCAGCGCTGGACGTGCAGGTCTGTTCGGGCAGCAGAGGGCACTCTTTGGCTCCGGCACTGGGAAGATGGTGTGTGTGAGTTATGAAAACCTCCTGCAGCTGAATGTAGAAGAAGAAGAAGAAAAGTACCTGTCGGAAACGGAGTCTCTCTTCTGCCTCACGGGGAGTGAACTCAGGAAAGAAGGATCCAAAGAGCGATGCCTGCCCGGCGCTGCGGACAACGAGACGGACACGCGGTCACACGCCGAGTCTGAGGGGTTTCCTCGTCTACGGCTGGACGTCTCACCTCTGTTTACCGGCGTGGGCGCGACGTCCGCGGCCGCCTGCCCTCCGCCGGGGCAGCCTGAGCTCGCCATCTCCTCCAGGCAGAGGCTGCGGCGAGGGCTGAGCTGCTGTTTGGGCAGCGGGATGCGGGAGGGCGGCCTGTTCGGAGAGGGAGAAACCGCGGCCGGGGGACGGGGAGGAGTCCGGGGGGGACTGCTCAGTGCGGGACGCGATGAGAGGGACGGCGGTTCGACCTCCGGCTCCACCGACGACCTCCTGCCCCGGTGGAAGAGGGGGGAGCAGGGCGGAGAGCCCGGCTGGATGACGTCTCCCAGCGAGGTGGAGCGGCTGCTTTTGGCCATGGAGCTGGCCGTGGGGTTCATGTAGGAGTGGGGCCGGAGCTTGGGGCTCTCCCACGGCAGGGGGGAGTCGGGGGATTGGGAGGAACCGTTGGAGGGTGAGGAAAAGTGGAAGGAAGGGTGGGGAGCGTCGTGGAACAGGGAAAGCTGCTGAGGTCTCCTGCGTGGTTCCCTCCGGTCACTAGAGGTCACGGGGGAGTGGAGAGCTGGGGAAGAACATACAAGTGGACATTTGTTTGTGAAGCAATAGAATATAAAAAGGCAAACATGTGTCATGTCAAGTTATTTTGAATATTTCACAGAAGGATCAATGCAAATTATGTTTAAATGCGCTCTCGATGCAGAGATGAGACGTACATTCTGAGGACAGGTTCTGGACAGAGTGAGATTTGGACAGCGGCGCTTTGGATGGCGCGTTGGACGTCCTCCACAGGTGGGTCCGCGTCGTCTTCGCCTTCTTCGCGGCAGCACAGTCTCTGTCTGCAGCATCTCGCCTGCTGGGAGCCAACGCGGCAGCTTTATCACCTCGGACACGATGCATCAGGCACACGGACGGCAAACACAAAACAGAACTTCATATCTGACGATTTGTGTTTTCTTTTTCTCTGTCTTCTTACTTTGGCCCTTCGACCCGGCCAGGGGACACCGGGACCCTGTCCGCTGGGTTTCCGCTCCGGTTATCTTCCATCAAGGGCCGCACTTTCGACACAGGGGGCTTAGCCGAGCGGCTGCACGGCTCTTTTCCGGGCGCTTTGGCAAAAAGAGGCGTTCTACGCGGTGAAGCAAATGCACAATGTTCAAAGTTACATGATGAGTTGATAGAATAGTTCCACGTTTTTCGAACTATGCTTATTTCCTTTCTTGCCAAGAGAGTAAGAATAGTAAATACTGCATGAAGTAGCATGGCACTAGCCGGCTAGCTTAGCTTAAAGCGCTAGCCTTGTAGCTAAGCAGCTCCACCAATAAACTGCTAAATAGCGGCAGGTTGTAGCTACATTCTCAGTCTGCACATGCATGAGAGTATAAAAAGGAACATGTCATTATATCGTTATTTCTTGGCGTTGCCAGGCAACCAGCAGATACGGCATTAAGGAGCTAGTCGAGAAGTACTCCCCCACTGAAGTTTTCGATTTCTGTGCAAGTTTAACAAATGATGTACAACAACTGAATTAGCGAGCGTTGGTGGCGTTTCACTGTTTCCACTCTTTGTGCTAAGCTAAGCTAGCCGGCTGCATGCCGGCGCATCATATTTAGCGCGCAGAAATGGGGTCTCCCCCTTGTCATGTTTCCTTAAAAGATCGTTAAATGTCTAGCTGCACAATTATTGATGATACAAGTAAACAAGCACAACAACGGAAAAAAAACCGTCGTACCCACACGGGATTACTCCAACCGATAACAACATCATCTAAGACTGACAGCTGGGCTCGATCGTGAGGGTCCACAGATGGTTTAGCAGAGCAGTGCGCGTGATTCCACATGGGTTTGTAATTATAGCTGTGAATCCACACTGGTCAACGGTACCTGTCATTGTGTCCTCTGGCCAGGAAGCGTGAAGACATACTGAGCCGAGGGACTCTGCTCTGCTCGGCTGTGGACAGACGTCAAGCGCGGGAGAAGAAAAACAAGGAGGGAAATAAGAGGCCGTGGCAAAGAGAAGAGAGGAGGAAAGAGAAACTGAAAGACCAATCAATGTCGTTTGCATGGGAGGTCATTTAGGGAACGTTCGTCATTCGGGGAATTAAGGTAAATCCAGGCGGCGTTTGAGCGTTTGGCCTCTCCTCTTACCCGTGCTGCAGCTCTCATTCGGCGTCTCAAAGTTGTGCTTGAGGAAATCTTCCTCGCCATCGTCAGCGGTTTCAGTGACCGTCCTCAGAGCGCGGTCCAGACTCGTCACTTCCGCCCCGCGCTCATCTTCCTCCCCCTCATCGGGCTCCTCATCAGAGCTGCCGGGGCTCAGGGACTCCACGTCTGCACAGTCGTGAGGTAAAAGACAAGAAGGCCTGAGTGAAAACAACCCTCCCTGAAACCGTCATACATCCACTGCACACAGCAGGCAGGTAGCAAATAATCCCTCACAAATGACCAGCCGGGACACGGCGGCTTCTGCAGTGGCATCATTTCACATATTTCTATCAGGTCTGAAACTGATGGAAAATCCCAGCCTCTCTGTGCTTAAATCCCTCTCGACGCGAACCGGCTTTTCTGTAACTTGAAGAGATATCATGGCCGTCATGTGAATTGGTGGCTTTTCATTTTAAAATCCAGCACTTGACAAACGTATGTGCGATACTGTATAAATATGTGTAACTTAAAACAGAGCGGTGGACAGATAAAAAAAAAAAAAGGTAACTTTGGCATCTATTAAAATAATTCCTTAAACAATAGTCTGCTTCATTCAAGCTTAACGCAGAATAGAGAAAGAATTAAGCTAAACATCCACTGAAGGCAGCAATGTGTAATGATTTCAGCAAATAAAACTAATTAGAGCCTAATTGAATTTTGGGTAGAGAGAAGCATCAACGTCCATCACTGTGTATTTCCTGATGATTTCACTCGGATGGTCAGAAATACTCCAATAAGACGTTAAATACCAATGCTCACTTTTTGTGCCTTTGTTTTCATTTCATTTCAAGTGCAATAACCTATTGATGGATGGTGTCGTATGTCTGTTTTATGTCATATATCTGTTTATTTGGGATCTCACCGCGCGGGGGCCGCTCGGGGCTGGAGTCCCTGCTGCCGTAGCCCAGCGAGCGAGCGCTGTCCGGGCTGCGGCTTTCCTTGCTCTCCCTGCGGCTCGCTCGCGTCCTGCAGCGCTGCTCCTTCACCGTATAATCACTGGCGTATGAAAAGTGGGAGAGGGGGTGGGGGGACAATGAGGGACGCGGGCGGACTGAAACCGAGAATAGAAAAGCTCTTTTGTTCCCGGAGTGAAAGCATGTACGCTGCGCGGGGGATTTACCCGCCCTGCTGACTCGAGTGGCGCTCGCCCTCCTCGGGGTACAGCACGTCTCCGTCGTCGCCCCTCCCGATGCCCTCCGACGGGTGCCAGGGCAGCCAGTCGCCACGCGGTCGGGCCCGACGCCACGCGGGTCGCTCCTCCGAGTGCGGCTGCAGAGAAAAGAGGTGACTTAGCGGCACGATCGGATCCTCGTACTGGGACCCGGACGGGGACTCGTGCATACCGCGGCCTCCTGCAGGCTGGACGTGCTTTGTCTCTCTCTGGGTCTTTTCTTGGGCGCAAAGGTCTCCAGCTGCCTGAGGTCCAGCATGGATTTCACCATCAGCTCCAGAGGGGCCATGCGATGGGACCAGCGCCTGCGAGGGCGCTTGGAGGAGTCGGGTGGGTCCTGGGTGACGGATGCGCGCTGAAGAAAGGAGGTTTTGACACAATGAGCCGCCACTTAGATATAAAAGGAACTAGAAGTTCAGCGTCGCGTGACCTCGACCTGTGACCTCCTACATCAAATCAGTTCGACTAGTCCAGGGGGTCCATAACGCCTCCCGCCGCGGCTGTTTGCGGCGTGCAGGATTAAATACGTCAAAACAGTTCTGGAAATTAAAGTTGACAAGCGTTAAAAGTATCGGCTTCTACCCAGATGTGATCTAGTTTTAAATTCCCACACTAGAGAATTCACATATTTTCATCACTTTTAAGACTAATTTCTCCCCCCCGGTAATTCAGAGAGGATTTAATCCCATGTGGAGTGAAGCCCGAGATCCTTAAGCCACTTTAGTCCTCCTGAAGAGCTGACGGATTAATGTGATAGACAGTAGACTGGAGCAGCTTTCCATCCTACACGCGTGAAGCCTGTACTGATTATTATTACACGCTGTTACTAATAACTCGCAAAAACGTATTTGTCAGGACCTGAACTAAAAGGGAGGCATTGTGTATTTATGTTTGGTGCTTCATCAATCAATGGAATGTCCGTAGAATGAAATCATAATTAAAACATTCTTCCCACTGTGAAGCCATTATTCATATCTGCGTATATTTCTATGGGAATAACAAGAGGCAGAAAGGAATAGAAGCCGAGTTTGCCACTAAATAAAAAGCACCAACCTTTGCCAGCTCCCAGTCTCGTCCTTCATCTGATCCACCTGTAGCGTCAAAGAGCACAAGAATCAGAAGCCTCAGAAATAATGAAATGACGCCGCTTTGATGAAGCCGCCCGCCGGCGCAGAGAGAATAAAAGGCGACGCTCACTGCAGCCGTACCTGCGTCCTCCTCGCCGCGGCTGCTGCTGCTGCTGTCGGAGGAAGCGTCGGCCGCGGCGTCTTCCGGGTCGTCGTCCTCTGCCCCGTCCTCCTCGCGCTCGAGGTCGCTGTCGGAGGACGGGCCGCCCGGCGTGGGGGCGTCGTGCGCCTCTCTCCTAGAGACGCCATGAAAAGGGTGAGCACGAGTGTTCCGTCTCGTGAGGGTTCATCGGGTACAGAGAACTTCCTTCAGTGTGTGTGTGTGTGTGTGTGTGTGCGAGCGCCACCTGAGACCGGCGGCCCTGCAGGGCGGTGCGTTCGGGTGCTGTAGGAGCTCGCTGAGCCTCTCGCTCATGCGGGCTGTCAGCTCCGGAGCGAGTCGCCACACAAAGATACAGCTGGTAGATAAAACCCATTCAGGCATTAAAAATTCAACATTTCATTTCAGCTCGACTATTGAGGAAGGAGTCTCCAAATACCCCCCCCCCCCCTTTATTTCCTCCGACCGCAGAGAGCGAGAATGAGTTTCATTTGCGGCCCAACTCCCGGTTATCTAGTGGTTTATTCCAGCACGCTGCTCATATTTGGTCTCACGGGTCTATCGTTTTAAACACAGAGCTAATGCTCGTTGTCTTTTCAGAAATACAACGTAAAAATAATATTATGATTTGTGGGGGATCTGGAGTAGCAGCAGCGGGCGGGACGGCACACAGGTCCGTTTCTCACCTGTCCCCCGACACGGAAATCAGATGCTGGCAGTCGTTGGTGAACTTCATCCCAGTGACGATCTCTGCAAAACACAACATGTGGCCCAGCTGGTTATTGTTTTGTGTGTCTGACACTGGTACCTTTGCCGAGTATCACTGCTACACATCGTCACCAGGACGAGCTGCAAATCCACCAAACCCAAAGCGTAGTCGAGGTGTGTGTGTGTGTCTCCTGGTACCAGAGTGTCCGTCCATGGTGGCCACACACTCTCCAGTGTGGAAGCCAAGATGCTGATGTTTTTATCGGAGCAGCTGGTGGCCACGTATTGACCCGACGTGATCAAGCTGAACCTACCGGGGGAAAAGGACAGTGTCGATACTGAGTGTATATATATATATATATATATATGGGGGGGAGATGATGGAGGCAACGGTCACCTTGAGCAGACTGCCGTCCTCACTCAGCGAGCCCTTGTAGATCTTCTTCTGCTTGCCACTGCTGATGTTGAAAACCCTGCAGTCGGAAGGAAGGGAAATGAGTTTTTTCCCCCCCCATCGCACACGAAAACACACACACACACACACACACACACACACACACCTGATGCAGCGGTCCTGACAGCCGACAGCAGCGTACTTGCAGGTGGGGTCTACATCCATGTCGCACGGCGTGCTCTTCCTCACCATGTGGTGCGAACGCCTGAACTCTGTTCCTCGCTCGGTCTGTGAAACAAACAGAACAGTTGAGAAAACCCTGCAGAGCGAGGAGGGGGGGGGGGTCTCGAGCTCGGAGCTACAGTCCTTAAAAAACAGAACCTGCTGAATTAAAGAGCATAAGTGCGCATGGCGTCTGTAAGACTCCGTATTAAGACTTGAGCAGCTTGATGGAGGCGGGATCACAGAACAGCCTGAAGCGATTTGCACTTCAACACACGCAGAGTCTCCTTCCCGCTGCTGCAGGTTCACACTGAGAGAAGAAGGGATTTTTGCGATGACGCCTGTTGCTTGTCTCGTGTCTCCGCGCGGCCTCAGTCGTCCTTGTAGTCACTCCACTTTGTGGAGGCCCGCGGTCGGCAAACCACGCCGCGATCTCCCATCTAATGGCGCTCTCTAGGATTACCGTGTCCGGTAATAGCGTGCATGACACCGGCTGCTCACTACTCAGTCGCCTTAAAGCCTGCGATGTCTGCGTGGACGTCTCGGTATTCGTAGGGGGAGACCTCAGCGTGTTACTGTAGAAAACAGCAGACTTCCCTTGACTTTGTTTAAAGCGGATAATAAACACGAGGTTGTTCAGCTTAAAATGCATGAAACGCAAGACATCGGGTATTAATGTCAGGCAGTAAATACGTTTTGACGTTTAGGCCATGTTTCATGATCAAAAAAGACAATTATGGTTCAATTAGACCGGCGAAAACACAGAGCCCGATAACTGACAGCACAGGAGATTCATTTGGGTTCCTCGGGGGGAAAACGGGCCTGTTTCTAAAACGCTCCATGAATGAGACTAACAAGCCATTGTTTACTATTCATTGTGCTGTACAGAACTTATTGAGTCGCTGCCGTGGCCTGAATCGGGTCTTAAGTCTGCGAGGAATGTTGTTATACAACTCCGTCTACAGAGTGAGTTTTCCCAGTGACCCTGAAGGCATCAAGAGGGAAGTACACAAGCAAAAAGTAGACGCCGTTGAGTTGTTTTCCACAAACAGAAGGAAACAAGATTGTGTTGCTGTTTGTTTAGTGTGAAGAATCAAAGGATTAATAGTTCATGAAGCAGCAGAGACCGATGAACCACAATTGCCGCCTCAACGAGTCACCTAGTCAGAAATAATTGTAAATTAATTTTTGTATTCTCTGCCGCTTCCTCAGATTGTTCCTCTGGAGCAAAATAATGCAGCAGGAAAACAAGAATGAGCCAAGCCAGCGGTTTCCATCCATTTTAAGTCTTTGTGCTATGCTAACCAGGTAAATGGCTCCAGCTATATATTAAGTGTACGGATGTGAGAGTGAGAATGACCCTTCCAACTCTCCGCTAAACGCCAAATCAATCATTACACAACAAGAAACCCTAAATAAAACATGTGTCCATTAGATATTATATTTTATATTATTATCCATTAGACGGCGGGAGCTGACTGATTGCGTCCTCCTCCGTCTTACCTTGAGTGCAGTGCGAAAATAGATGCTCTTGTCGGCTCCACAGCTGATCAGCCTCACCTTGTTGTCAGTGGCTGTGAAACAAAGACATATTTAAAATAAGTTAATAAGTCTGCATCAGTCAGTTACAAATGCAATTTAAGCAAAAGGTCTAGAGACGTGATGACAGATGACAGGCATAATAAATCCAAAATGATGCAAGCCTGCAAAGCCATCGATCAGCTGAACAAGCACAGCTGCGAGCGACGTGAAAGAGTGCGAGTGACTGGAGGTGAAAGCGAGGAGCAAGCGGAGACTCGCTCACCGGCAAAGCGGACGGCTGTTACGGTCGCAGAGTGCTCATCCAGAGTCTGCAGCAGAGCGTAGTCGTCCTCGGCATCCAAGACGTGGATCAGGCGGTCCCTGCCGGCTGTGGCCAGCAGCTTCACACCTGACGGCGACGAGACGACGTCAATCGCACAAAATCGCGCAAACCCGACGCGCGGAAAAACCTTCCCGCCACGAGCCTCGCCGCGCGCTCACCTGTTTCCGGTTTGCTGAACTGGAGGCAGAGGATCTCGGCGTCGTGGGACTCCACCTTCAGGATCTCCGCCAAGCTCCTGAGATCGTGGACCCTGCAGGGAGTGAATGAAAACACTGATGGAGCTCCACTCGGCCAGTGTGCGTTTGAGCCGTGCCGTCCTACCTCAGCGTCCCGCTGCGATCCCCGGACGCCAGGTGTCTGCCGTCCGGACTGACGCAGATGGTCCTGATGCCGGTCCTGCTCTCTGCCGTCTGTCCGTCCCCTTGTTTGTCCGCGTTCATGTTGGTCCAACATTCTGGATCCTGCAAAGCGCCGGTGTTCCCGTCTACGTAGATTATGTTCAGGAGATCCTGCGCGGAGAAGAGACGCGGCCCATCAGGAAGAGGATTTGTGCGCTCCTGAAGCCGGTGAGCGTTTTTCCTCCCGGGTGAACTCACGCTGCTGAGGATGTTGCGCGAGCGAAAAGGAGCTCGCGTCCTGTCGTCCGAGCGCCACAGTCTGATGGTGTTATCAGCGGAGCAGCTGAGGAACGCACCAGTGGACAAACCGGATTCTCCGGGAACATCTGGGAACATCTGAGGAAGGACAAGGGAGAAGGTGAATTCAGGGGAACATGGATGTTGCAGTAAGAGGATGTAATAATTATGTTTTTATTTCAAATGAATGTTGTCATAACGTTGGATAAATAAGGAATCCCCATGAATGGAAATAAACAGAATCCTCGCAACGTTTAATCTATAATGCAGAGGATCAGAATTGTCTTTTACTTCCCAACGAAGCCGCCCTATTTTGGCTCTTGGCTGGTATTGAGTGAGTAGCCCGGTCGATGCAACACTCAGTGGTGTAGTTATTGAACGAGGTTAGACTGCACGCATCGCTCACAGAGGTCGCACAGGTCACAGAGGTGTGTATCATTCCCTTGTTTACCTCCAGGTCCCCGACAGAGGCGGCGTGGAAGAGGGCAGAGTGCACCTTCCCCACCCTGTTGACGTCGCTCACGTCCCACACGTACAGACTGTGGTCGTCGTAGACGCAGCTGAGCCACTGGCTGACGGGGTCAAAGGTGACCGCAACGACGTCCGGGTAACGGCCGCACGCCTTGGCGGAGAACAGGTGGCTGATGGGAATGAGGTTGAAAGATAATCGAGTTTCAGCAACAGATGTTTTTTCTAAAAATAGTGATACATTTCGAGGAACAGAGGCGGCTTCCTGAATAATTTAACCAGCAGTTTTGCTCAAAAACACAGAGAAATGTACACCCGGTGCATGATAAAGAGGTTATTTAGACTGTGGCCGTGTTCCTTCCTCACCCGGGCTCCGTGACGGCCGCGACGTCGGTGCCGAGCGGGTGCGGCCGCGGCAGCGTGCAGGCGAAGTGAAGGTCGGCGCTGCTGAAGGCCCGCACCGTCCCGTCGGCGCAGCCGCAGAAGATCGTGTCCTCGGACAGAGACAGAGACTGGGCCGCGCTCGTCTGCACGGCGGGACAACAGAGAACAACACGCCACTCAATGCACACACACACACACGACGGACTCGGCCCACAGTGGCGTCCTGGCCAACATGGAGGTGGGTGAAGGCCTGAGAAGACGCATCCACTGAGGTTTCATCGTGAAGTTACGGCGGAGGTTACCAAAGGTTGAGGTCGGAAATAAATGTGTTTTTATTGGAATACGTCCAACGTACGCACCACGATGGTCTTGATTAAACACACACACAGCTGCACAACGACCATTTACTGTTGATTTAACGCCCGTAGGCAGCTACTTAATCAATAAAAAATTTAATAAAAAGCACCTGTAGCATTTATGGCCTTTCAAAGTAGGAAATCTGAATTTTGTTCTCAATCCAGGCTTATTATTGTCAATCTTAAAGGAAGAGTTGGCAGCAAAACTATGGTTCTGTCACTTTAACTCCAAGTAGTACTGAAGAGAGGATCCAATCTACGTGATTGGCACAAACTATTTCAACGGTACTCAAAAAACAACATGTTTTGTTCTTTAACTTTCTTGCCAGCAAGAGGATCGATACGACTTTCTAGAGCTAAAGGCGGGAGTTGTTTGCTTAGCTTAGCATGAAGGCTCTAAAAACCCAACCTAAATCCACCCGACGCTGAAAAAGAATACGTAGCGGGCTTTAGGCAGGGACCGGCCAGCCGAAACGATGTCACTTAGGTGGAATGACGAGGCCCGATCAATATCCTCCCCATCGCCCCAGTGTGGGATTAATAATTCATTGGCAGCTAAAGAGCCCAAATCAACTGTTGGATGCTTCCTGTGAGCCACTCACCCGCAGGTCCACCCACTTGTCCAGCATCCTCTCGCCGTTGAACTCGCACAGCAGGCCCGAGGAGGTGATGCAGAAGGTGGAGTCAGAGGTGGAGCCCCGCCCACAGGCCACATCGCAGAAGAAGTTGTTCCTCAGCTCCCCCAGCAGCCCCGAGCGGCCCAGCAGCGGGACGGGGGCGCTGGCCTGGGATGCCGCAACGGAGATTTTCACAGTGTCAAAAAGGTTCTTCTGGAAGCAAAGTTCATGGAAGACGTAAGCGATTCACCTTGCTGGCCAGGCAGTGGTCCAGATACCAGAACTTGACGTGTCTGTTCCCCGCGGTTACGAAGTAGGAGCTGTCCTCAGAGAAAGACACACCTGTCACCTTACTGGACACCTTGTTGGCAGCCACGACAACGTCTTTCTGCGGGGAAAAGAGGACTTTTGATGAACCTGCAGTTGCTTTGTGACGGTTGAAATCCTTTTTCTGCCGAACTACGCAGAAACCCCAAACCGCGTTGCAGCTCTACAAGCAGCGCCAATTCCCTACAAGATGTTGAAGTATTCCTTTGACATGAAGCGCGCGAGGCGTACCTTCCACACCCAGACCGTGACCATCATGTCGTGCTGGTTCCCCACGCTGACAATGAACTTGCTGTTGGGGGAGAAAGCCACGCAGGAGACGCCATATTTGTGCTCATGGAGCTCCGCCACCTGTCTTCGCTCTTCCACGTCCCAAAGTCTCACCGCCGGCAGGTGTCCGCTCTGGTGAAAGGGGCGGAGAAATTGTTGTTTAAGAATAAGGGGGGATGCTTCTTTTGGTTAAGCGTTGTATTGTTTTGTTGTCTATATTCTTTCTAGAGTATTCATCTGCTGGTCCTCTCCTCTCCGTCCTCTGCTCGCTGTATACGGTTTGACCTGCTCGCAGTATTCTCTCGCTCCGGGATCAAAGGGTCAGCGGGCTATTTGTTTAAAGCGGCAGAGCGACCTTTCAAAGGTCATAATCATGAGGAAGGTGAGGAGAAAAGCAGCTTGGATACTGAACAATGGATGACATTAAACTAAAGACTGAGCTGCATACAAAAGGAGACAGAAGGTTGCTGACCTGTAATGTTATATTTTCAGTAGTCATAAAAAATATTTTCTGTAAAAATGGCCAGGCTACAAAATCTGGAATTTGGTTCCTTTTAAATTGAATCAAACGGACTTTCCTCATCGCATTTGGTCTTTTGAACTTCAGCCTCTGGCGCCATGGCAACCACCGCGTCCTCATCCACTTAAGCGCAGGTCTTTAAGCGGCTTCGATTGGCCGGGGCGGATTAAGCGCCGAGGCTCAACATGACAGCACCATGCCACCGTAGCGGGTAGACTCACCTCTCCCGTGACCAGGTACTTGCCGTCGGGCGAGAAGGACAGAGACGTGATGGTCTTTCTGTGAAAAGTGAAAGAAGAATCGATGGAGACGGCCCAGCGTGACGGACGTTTTGACACTTTGACGTCTGACTGCAGATTGTGTTTGTGTTCAACTCACCTTGATGTGTTGATAATGTGGTGCTGTCTCTTTTTTTTGGGGTTCAGCAAAACCACCACACACCTACACGGAAAAAAACAGAATCAGAACTCACCATGTGAGATTTGTTTTTTGCCTTCTAATGAGGGGGTGATTTAATCTTGAAAAACAACTTTGAAATGTTTTTGATAATATTCTATTCTGCGTATTTGCAGAAGATGCAAACAGTCGTTGATTGAACTGCTTCTGCAAAGTCCATACTGGTATCATGCGTCATACCTACAGATTATAAACTGTGACCTTTTAAACTCTAATGTCCAGAGGTAATGCAAATCTCCTAATTTCCCTAAGAATAAACGTCTTATTGATACAATTACAGCAAGAAAGACAATAACATTGTACTTATTTATGTGCGGTCTTATCTAGATGTTGTATTTCTAATGTTTTTGTTTACTTTGACGGTCCACATAAGGTGGTTTAAAATGAACCAACAACACAAAATATTAAAATTATAAAACAGTCAGCGACCACATTTGAAAGTGAAATTAATACATTTTGAAGGAACACTTCACGATTTTGGGAGACACATCGGTGCGCTAACGTTAGCTAAATCCAAGGCTGTGGCCGGTTAGCTTAGCTAGCATAAAGGCTGTAAACAGCTAGCTAGCCCGGTTCTGTTTAACGGTAACTGCGCAATTCACACGGTTGGATAGAACCCGTTAGTTCGCTAACTTTAGAGAACCCGGTAGGTCGCGTTTGTAAACCAACGAACATTGGAACAAGGCAGGACAAGCCAGCTGTGTCCCCAGTGTACAGTGTTTAAGGCTAAAGCTAAGCTAATCGGCTAGCAAGAAACTATGTAAAAGGAGGAAATCAAACTAAACCTTAAAAAATATTGACCTACCGTTGTTTGACAACATTTTGATTTTACATTATTTTGAAAGTCTTGCTTCATGGTGTGTTGATGTTATTCGGCATAAATTTAGCCCCCCTGTGGTTCACCGCCTTTAATATACACCTTAGTTTCCATATTCATTTAACGCCGTGTTGTTTCCTACTAAGAAAACGTCCTTTTCACCACTTGATTGAGAGAACCTGCCTGGTGTCAGTTAGACAATAATAAAAAACTGAAACGTCAGAACTGAGCACACACACACACACACACGCACACACACGCACACACAAGGCCACATTATGTGCAGAGAAATGCAGCACACAAACACACACGCAGCCTTCACTGACACACTGTACACAGCCATCGACCTTCTTCGGATTAATACGGCTTTGTCAGTAGATTTGAGAAGGAAACAAAAGAGCCTCAGTGCATTGTTTGCGTTTTCACAGTCTGGATCGAAAATCCTCCAACCTGCAGCTCGCATTCCTCTCATTCTGCTGCCAGAGTCTCAGTCTGCACAGAATTAACAATACCGCACAACGCTCTTCACATCCCCGACACAGTCAAGAGGAAGCGCCCCCCCTCCGGGGAGAGGATCAAAAGAGGCCTTGGAGGTCCTCTGTTGAGAAAGCCCACAGAGTTCTCCTCCTCAGTTCCCCTGAGGTAGCGCCGAGCCAACACACACACGTGCAAATTTGCACACTAAACGGCAGCATGAGGCAGATACAAGGGGGGGAGGGGGGGGCGTTGAGAGGTCAAAGGTCAGATAACAAAGATAAGGATGCAGAGACGTGGCCTCTCTCGCTTTCCTCTTACCCTGCAGGATACGCGACCAGTCCGGATCGGGGGTCACAGGTCAGACCGCTGTTTCCTGAAGCTGTGATTCCGAGCACCTTCTCCAAAGTCACCTGCACAGACACACAGGTTGGTTTGTATGGGTTTGATCACAGAGACGTGGAAGTAGCGAGCGGGTTGACGGAGGGATGAATGCTGGACTCCAGGAGCGCGGCTATTGATCTGAGGACCGTCGTCAATGAGTCAAACACACAAATTGACTGATTTGGTTGCAACACGTGAAAACGATCCGGATCGACATACGTGTCCTCTTTCATTCTGCTGTAATATTTTCAAAAACACTGACTTTCATGATACTTTTTAGATTTTTGGTAAACAGGCCTTCCGTAATGCTTACAACACTTTGAGAGGTAAATACCTTTTACTGCATCTCACTGTGCAGATTAATTAATGATTCGTCCATGTCTGCACCTAAACTGCTTTAGGTGTTTTCTCTCTGTGACAACTATTATATTCAGCATTGACGAGGCTCAGCAGACCAGACGCTTGAAATATATTGTAGATAATATTATTGTTTAATGTGTGAGAGACGTAAAAAGAGATGTAAAATATCACTAAAGATGCCATGTGTCTGTTTGAGGAATTCTGAAGGCAATTAATTAGTCTGGAGTAATTTAAATGTGTGCGTAGTTTCCGATTTACCATAATGTGAATAATGTGAAGCAGATTGATGACCAACCCAACTCCTTTATGCTTAACGTGTTATCATCATACATACAATAATCAGAGCAAATCCTGGTTTTCGAAAATTCGATCTGTAGTTTATAATTTCTCGTTGGATGACAGATGAAGTTGGATGACAACTAGTCTGACATCACTAAAGTTTATCCACGACAATCAACACATTGGTTACACTAAAAGCTCCCTTATTGCGAGGTGTTAACTTGCCCTCCTTGAGTGCAATTTAGCGTGTTGATCTCTCAGTAAATATCGCATTTTCGGCCTCTTTCTCGTGACGTTTGGATCGATAATCAATGTGCAACATCCGCGATGGATCCCCGCGGGTACCTGTCTGCCGAGGCTCTCCCGGCTCTTCCTCTGCTTGGCTGACGGGGATCGCAGCAGCAGATTCCGGATGCGGCTCTTGATCGTGGCCCCGTCGCCGGCCATCCTGTGCGGAGGACTGCTGGGGGGGTCGTTGGGGTGGGATTGGGGGGGGGGGGGTCTGCAGAAAGAAGTGAGTGAGGAGTGTGCAAAAATAAAGACCGCTCCTCGCGGCGGCGCACGGGCTGTGGAGGTGTGAGGAGGTGGTGACTGTGCTCCTCCTGCTGCCACCAGCTGATCTGTAGCTGCAGCGGCCTCGTGGTCACATCAACGATCGCTCTGGTTTTAGTACCTAATTGATTTAATGGGATTACGGAAAGGAGAGAGAGAGCGCTGCCCGCAGTCTGAAGGCTGCATGCCGGATGTTTGGGGAACAATCGGGGTTCTCTCCGCTGATTGGACGGTCGGGTCGTATCTTTTGAACGCATTATGGTCCATTTGTTCTTTTAGACTGTGTGCAAATTGGCTGGAGTTAAGGTGATTGTCATTTTGTGTGAGATGATGAAGCATTAAATCCACCAATCAAATGCTGAATAGCTAATCTTTTTTTCTTCTTCTAACAGAAGAATGTCTCGCACTGTAAGACTTTATCTAAAATACTTTAATTATCATCTACATTCAAGTTGTAACATTATCATCATTTATTCTGATAGCCTTGTGTTTGAAGGGACACGTGTCTTTCCTGTAAGTCGACCACGCCCCCTGATGACGCCAGACCAATCGGAATCCTTGAAGGGAACGCCCCATATTTGTAATAAGCGAATCACTGACTTTATGGATGCAGGCTTTACTCTTTGTACTAATCGATTGATAGTAAGAAATAACAATATATTATATATTCATTTTGCAAATAAATAAACATTCAGAGCATTCATTTCAAGACATTTTGGGGCGAGAGTATATTCTGATAAATCAAGATATGACAATAAGACCGTTAACTCTGCCTAAATAGATTTACTTGGTCTGATCTTTAAAGTACTAAACGTGTGTTTAGCTTTTCAATAACACATAAAAACGTTGAGCTCTTCAGGCCTGGTTTACTTATTCAAAGTAATATAAGGTGACGTGGAAATGGAAGTCAAATATTCAGTCACTTCGATTTGAAGTTTGAAGTTCTCTTTTATCTATTATGAAACAAGATCTATTGGGAATCTTGACAAAATAAAACAAGTTAAGGAAACACTGGAAAGTTATTCATTAAATCACTAAAGCTTATAAATAATCAAAAAACCCTGAAAATAAGCTTGAGACGTCATTGCTCCTTTCGTCATGAAGGGAAATGCTTCAGAAATCTCTCTGCAGACACGTCTGCTTTAACTGCTGACAGGATGTTTCACTGATTTAGACACCAGGCGATCCGATTGCTTCTATTGATTGTTCTGCACCCAATTATTACTCCTATGAGCCATTTTTGAAACAATTGGGTAATACGGTTCAAAGGTTGAAGTCGTTCACCTTCTAGACAAAATGTTTCTTCCACCTACAAAAACTACAAACCAATGAAAGATTTTTTGGATTTGAGTGACTGAAAAGTGCCGCGGTAATAAATGCATGTTTTTATTGATTATAAAGAACACATTGATTTTTACATCTTCAATTGAACAAAAGCAACGGGACCAGTGTTTCAAAATCATCCACATAGTAGATGCATCGCAATAAAAAAAACAAACCCAAAAGAAATATATTTACAGAGATTATTTTCATAGATACAATATATAGCAAAAAGCGTCTTTTGATTGCTTGTGACACATCAGGTTTATGTGCATTTGACTCCCCAGAATACAAACCACTACTATACAGACTACAGCAAAGAAATCATGGGTGGGTTCTACCGAAAACATAAAGTGCTACTACGTATGATTTTCACTTAGTTAATAACGGAAAAACACTTTCATGGAGGGATAAATGCGTCAAACTAGCTCTCAATAAAAATGGAAAATACATAAGTTAACATTTAATTTTGACCGAGTTAATGAAGCAGTTGTCAGTACTGAGAAACTTGTACTTTTAGTTTATTTGCATAGGACAGATCAGTAAAAAAAATACTGCGACAACAAAATCATGATTTGAATGAATCTCATTTTGCCGGTTGAGTAAAGTGAAGAAGAATGTAAGTGACAGAAAAGCATCTTAGAAATCGATATCGAAGCGGAATGCGGGAGTCACCGTTCATCTTTGTTCAAACATTCAGCCGGTCAGTTAATGCTTTCTCTTATATTCTTTGTACCAAAAAAAAAAAAAAACACATCTGCAGGAAGACGGATTACTCGGATTCGGATTCAAAATCGGATTTGATCTCCGGTTCCGCTTCTGCTTCCAGTTCCTTCTCCACGTCTATCCAGGAGCGCTTCTTTGCGCTGGGGAAGTCCTTCCCCAGAGAGCCGCGGGTCAGCGGCCGACACGCGCCGCCGTCTCCCGCCGCCCTGCGCTTGGACCCGGAGCTACCGAGGGACGGACTGCCGCGGCCGCAGTCGGACGGGAGACTTGCTGAGCGCGAGACGGGGGGACTCCACAGCTGTGGCGACCTCTTCTTCGGGGGCCGTCCCCTGGGTCGTTTGACCTTTGGGGGGCCGCTGCCGTCGCCGTCGTCGCCGCCGCCTGCCGGCCCCGGAGCTGGTGTCTTGGTCCCTTTGGAAGACTTTCTTTGGTTTCGTCCCCCTTCGACCGGAGGAGACGTTTCACTTCTACCGGCGTCCCCACCGGGAGGCTTGGCGGGGGGCCGCTTTCGGGGCCGGCCTCTGCTGCGGCCGGCGGCGGGGTTGGGATTGGCAGTAGCGGGAATTTTTTTCCCCGAGCCCCCCGCCGCACAAACCTTTCGGCTTTTCTTCGCGCCTCGCCGGGCCACCGAAGGCCTGCTGACCAACCTGTCAGGGGGGGTGAGCTCAGCCACGAGGGCCGCTATGCCCGAGGGAAGAGGGGAAGCCTGCACGGCGCCCCCTTGCTCCAAAGCCCGGGGGCTTCCTGAGGAAAGGCTCTGGGCTTGTCTCACCAACGCCTCCACGTCAGAAGGACTCATATTCACTGTGCCCTCCTGCCCCTTCTTCCTGGGTTCCATGACCATGAGTGTGTAGAAGCCGTGACCAACTGTGAGAACGGGGGGAGGGGGGGGTTCACATGTAACACAATATAATCACACATGTACGTAAAGAGATGTGCAGAAATGCAGGATGGTTCAACTCACGTGGCTTTAGAGATGACGGCAGTATAATTCTGCCGGTTTTGGAGCGAATCAGAGGAAGAGAAAAGGTCGTCGTGGCTTCAATGGGGGGCGTGCCAGAGGCGGACGCTTGGGACGAAGGCGCGGCTGCGTGCGTTTGGGCGGCGGTACAGCCGACCTGCTTCTCCAGTCGCTCCTCAGACGTCTTCTGAGGGGGACCGCCGGGTAGCGAGGGGGCCGGGGCCTCGAGCCGAGCTGCAGCGGCGCCGGGTTGGGTAAGAGGCCTGTTTAGGTTTGATTGAAGCAGGGACATCAGCTTGTTTTGGACCGCGTTCAGAGACGCAGTCTTCAAGCTCGCCAGGGACGGCGGTTCGGGCGGCAGCTTGGACTGAGAAGCAGCGGATTGCAGGAGAGCAGCTCTGGACGAGAGAAGATTGGAGAAGAACGGCTTCCATTCAGGCTTCTCTTTCTCCGTCTCTTCAGGCTTCTCTTTCTCCGTCTCCTCAGGCTTCTCTCCCTCAGTCTCCTCAGGCTTCTCTCCGGCCTTCTTTTCTCTCTTTTTCTGCTTCTCGCAGATCTCCTTCAGCTTGTTTTTAATCAGCATGTCCGACTTGCCTTTTAAAAACAAAAGGGAAATTTCAAATGACAGTCTCAGTAAAGACAGCGTCTTTCTGTGTGTGCTCTCCGGGGAAGTCCTGAAAAGATTGTAAGGTTGACGCATTTGAATAGCTCATAAAACAGAAACTGTACGCACCAGACAAGCGGGACAGCTCCTTCACGTAGACGGCCTGCATCTGAGTCAGCCTCCTCTTCCTCTCCTCCAGACGTCGGGACGTCTCCACCAGTTTTTGGATTTCTTCCACGGCCTGCGAATACAAGACCCGGAGCTCTTGTCAAACTTGCATATTTCTAAATGAATCAAAATTCACTTTGAGACAGTTTCAGATACATTTCTGTTTTTTGTTTGAATTTTTCTGGAATCATTAGAAAGAAAGTGAACAATTTTTTTTCCCTCCAATTTCGATGCTTTTAGGAATTTATATTCAAAAAGGAAACAGTTTGTTTCTTGTAATTTATGGCCCATCAGAGCACTGACCAGTGTGAGGAGGCGGAGCCTGGGGGCCCGGGGGTCGCTCGGAAGGACGGACTGGAGTTTGTCGAAGAGGGTCCTCTGCTCAGAGCGTCTTTGCCTTTCGAGCACCGTGTGGTTCGTCCGTCTCCTGTTATCTTTACACTCCTCCATTTTATTGAGGAAGGGAGAAGAAAATAAAAGTATTAGTGGCAGTAATAGTAATATTACTACTCTGTACATATAAGAGAAAACCAGACGGCTATTCCCACCCGGGTGAAGATGCTCTGTTGGATAAAACCGGTTACACTTTCCTTGTTCACGGAGATAAAACAAAGAAGAAGCTGAACATTCAAAGGTCAGTGTTGTACCTTAGCGTTGAGTTTCGTCAGTGATGCTAAACCAGCGCTGGATTCTCTGAGGATGGAAAAGAACAGAGGAGAAAACTTTGTAGGGACAAAATTCCCACATTGGCGCAAAATATAGAAAGGTCCACACGTCGTAAATATTTAGATGATTATTACCCAGACTCCTTTAGTGCTTTTAGGGCATCTTTAACTTTATTGATGGCCCATTCGTCTACCGTCTCAATGTCCACCTCCACATCCTGAATGAAAAATATAAAAAAACTTTTTTTTAAATCTGAATTCACATTCACAGGATTTGCCGAATGATTACAATTCACTTTTCAGACGCATTGCTGTTTCTTATTGCTCACACTATCGTCTTCGAACCCTCCTGCGCAGTAGTCCGAGGAGTCCGAGTCGGAGCTGAAATCCTCGGAGGTGAAATCCGGGTTTGATTCCTCCTCCCTGCTTTCATTATTCTCATCCGACGGCATCTTCACGTCACACGCCAGCTCGGCGGGGGACTCTGGCTCCAGTGACGTGCGGCCGGATTGGTCCTTAGCCGCGCCACAAGTCTGCGCACCGCCCCAATTTGCGGCCGAACCGGCTGCCGGGTGGCCGAAGGTAAGCGAGGTCTCTTTTTGCGGCCGGGCTTCATCCGCACAAGCAGCGCTCACAGCTTCCGGTGCGGCTCCATCATCTCTGTGCTGTGGGAGCTCGATGAGGGTGAAGCCCCCGGGCAGAGTGATGCCCGGCAGGTTCCGGCTACTGGTCCTCTGGTTGGCCGGAGGGCAGATCCTGAATGAGTAGGTGCCGCTCTGTCCCAAGAAGCTGGGGGTTTTCAGAGCCGGCGAAACGGTGAGGCACACGGGCGAGGACCTGGACCTGGTCTGGAAGGGGTTGGCGGCGCTGCGGTGGCATGAGGCAAAGGGGTTGAAGGCGGAGGGGTTTTGGAGGGAGTTTGTCGATCCCTTCGTCCAAAAGTCTGTCGGGAACCTGTGAGCTGCATAAACAAAACAACGAGGGGGGGGGTGAGACACAGAAACAACAATCCTATTTCAACATTCAAAAAATGTATATTTAGACATTAAAAGTATTATATCTGGGGTAACGGATAAAGTCTGGGGAATGTAATTCATTAATGTTACATGGGGGCTATTATCTAATCGTGTTACATTTCTGTCTGGCAGATGAGGGCTTCTGAGTTTGAGGACCCGCTGCTCTCCTCCCTGCGGTCTCGATTCGGAGCACACTCATGAAGGTGGTGTGATTTGCTTGGATGATTAAAATGCTGAGCAGGAGCTGCAGGTACGTCTGCGCTGGAGGGTTCTCGAGTTGATTACTTTTCCCTCCTTTTGTGAAACAATCAGTCTCCACCTGAGGTCCGGGAACAGAAGGACGATTTTACCTGGTGGCTTCAGATCGGCGGCTCCCCGTGCCGTCGTGCCCGGAGGGACGACCGCGCCGGCGGGCTTTGTGTGCAGGGAATCGGGAGTTGCGGTTTTCTTTGAAGGGTGAGATTTCCGAGAGACTTTTAGAGAAATGCCGCCGGGAGGACGCAGTCGGCCCGTGACGAATGCTGCGAGGCGGTTAGCTGGATGTAGAGATCCCATGTTCCCCAGCATCAGTCGGGCCTGATTGTAGGATTTACCATTTACCTGTAAAGGGAGAAATACTTTGATATTACTAGTTGACAAATAAATCATTTCCCCCTCTGAAAATAATGAAAGTATATTCAAAGAAATACCATTATAAATACATATCACTGCGCACTCAAAGTAGCAGGTTAGATTTTGCGCGACAATTCAGGCGGACGTGATGAGCGATGTGAATGAATGAGATGGTTTGAGATCTTGCAAGGAGACCCAATGCTCTTCACATGCACGTACAGGGACTAGTTTTCTCTAGACTACTGAAATTAGATACACAACATGGTGGATAATACTGTTTTGTGCTGAAAGGCAGATATTTACTTACTATTTATAATTTCACTGGTAACCGGTTTATAAAAGCAACAAGGTACTTCAGGCAGTACTTTATCTTCAATAATGTAACAGTTCCAGGGTGTTCTTAGGCCCGGCGATAAAGTACAGCTTCTCGTACCTTATTGCTTAAATAAAGCACTGTTGGCGTTGTTAGCAATGATTGATTGATGAGGTTTGATACTATTTGTATTGGGTACCAGTAACCAGCCCTAACAGTGTCACACGTGAATGGTACCCGTTTAGACTGACCTGTATGAGTCCAGAAGCTTGGCAGCCAACAGGTTTGGTCCTGACCTTTAACCTGCCAGCAGGTATGACTCCAATCATGAAGGGTGTGACTGCGATCTGCACATCTGGCTCTCTAAATTGGAATTTGTCCTCTTCTGCCTCCAGGTCCACATTGAGGCTTTTAACGGGCGGGTTTTCCTCATCGCTGTCATCGGATTCATCTCCATCGATGTCACTGGCTTTTGATGGTTTACTGATGTGTAACTGGAAGACGGGGAGGTGGAGCAGGAAACCATTTCTTTAGTTCATCTTACTAAATGGCAAAACACACTATTTAAGATCCAGACCCAGAGACTCACCCTGTAGGTGACGATGGAGCCGCTGGGCTTCCGCATGAAGATCTTGGCGACCGGGCGGACGCGGTACGGTCCGACCCAGAAGCGCCGAGACAGCCGGTTGTGATTCATGCGCTGACATAAGGCCTCAAGGACCATTTGGCGGTCCTTCATCCACTGACACGCCGACTGGATCTCGATTTGCTTTTTTGCTTCTTTTTCACCGGACGCCACAGAGGCCTTTTTTGCTGAGGGGACAAATAGCAGAATATCTTCAGCATTTCCTCCAGTAGCTACGGAAACATTTGCAGAATGATCGAATCACTGCATTCTTCTTTTCCGCACCAGTTTTTTTAACCATCAGAGGGCTGTGGGGCTTCTTGGGCTGGTCGTCGGCGCCTGTTTTCTGCTGCTGTGCTTTGGGGCTCTTTGCGAAGGCATCCAGGACCTTGGGGTCCATGGTGAGCTTGAGGGGAGGAGAGGTCTTGAAGCCCCTCACACGCGCACACGTCATCATGCTCTCCAAGTATTTATACACCGGACCCTTATCCTCTTCTCGAATCTGCAAGGATTTACATTTCAGTTTTGAATAACAAGAGGGGGACAAAAAGGTTTTCAGATTTTTCCACTTAGAATATCCCAGCGAATAATAATAATAATTAGCAACAGCAACAACAGTTTAATGCATTAATTACAAATTTGAGTTAATATTCTACCGGTTGGGTCAGATGGGCTCCACTGCTGCGCTTCAGGTTCTTTAGAGGTAGGAAATACAGTGGAGCCTTTTTGGGGGCGAAGAGTGGTTCTGGATCCTCTTCTTCAGTGTGGCGGTTCCACAGTCGCTTAGCACGGGAGCCCGCGTGGGGTTTGCTCATATTTTCCAAATTACTCATAGCTGGGGAGGAATGAAAATGTCTCATTAACACCTGCTAGTTGGTGACCAAACTGAGCGGAACACAAAAGCCTCTCAGATCTCATCAAAGTCCACCACAGTTCTGCAATGAAGATGTGAAACCGTATAATAAAATGCTGGCATTTGAGGTGTTTAGGTCTTTGAAACGTAAAAGTCTACTCATTCTGAAAGCACAATCGTAGAGACACAGAATGAAGAGAATAAGTTGAGCGTACAGTAGACCGGTTGGATGAGCTCTTCTCGGCCCCCCAGGCTCAGCTGCTTGGTGATCCTGCGTTTGAAGCAGGCGCAGCCGAACATGCACTCAGGCCGCCGGCAGTGGAATGGAGCGCTGCTGGTTCGCCGCAGACTCAAGCACACGCAGCCCAGTATGCAGAACTCCTCGCCGCATTCGGGTAGCGTCACTTTGTACTTTGGATACTTGGTCACATTAAAGACCTCCCTGGGCAGCATCTGATTAAAAAGAAGGAGGAAATCCATCAAGACTGTTTACAAACGTGATTGCAGTTTCTTCACTGGGCTTCGTTTTCCTTTTACAGACTACAGGAGTTATAAAATCCAATTAGAGTCTTGAAATCACACACAAACACACACGCAAGGAGGATCCCCACAGGTGTTCTTCTCTCTAACCTCAAACATGCACAGACTACAAGATTTGTAGTAATCCTTTGCTGTGAGAAAAAAGTAGAAGGCTGAACGAGTCTGGAAGGTCCAGTGAAGGCGAGTGCACTTGCTTCATGTGTCACTGAGCAACGCTCCATCCGATGAGGCTGCTGACAGCTCGGGAAATTTATAGGTGAATATATAAAACCATCAGATGAAGAGACAACCTGGACCGAACATCTGGACAGACCAAACCCCCAGACCAAATTTCCCCTTGGGTGGTTGGGAGCTGGGTCGAGTCTTCACCAATTTGCATGACATTTAAATTACGCCAGCCGCATCGTTAACATCAAATGACAGAGTACGCTGTCACACCTGCTTAGTCAGCAAACCAGCCAAAGCCACCGTCAGTCGTTCTTCAGTCAGCTGGGTCCTGCTCAGACCCCTGGTCATGGCTCCCAACTCCATCCGCAGCAGGATGCACTGGTTCTTAGTGAGGCCTGAAGCTCTGGGAGTCATGGCTGGTCTTTGGCCGAGGTCCGGGAGGTACGTGGATAATCTGAAGAGGCAGGACGGTGTGATTAGACCGCGGCAGGATTAAAACAGGAGCACATTTAGCCCTCTTAAAGCACAACTGTGTTGCACTGTGCACTGATATTGGAAGTACATATTTATAAAATGAAGACATTTGCTCGAGGGTGACCACGGACCTTGAATTCGAGATATATTCCAACGAGAGTAAATTATTAAATATAACCAATAAAAATGGCATTCTACAAACATCGCTGGTACCAGCTGTGAAACTGTAAATGGGAATCACAACATCAAAGGAACGGTCGAGACATTACTTTTTAAGATATATTTATATATAGATATATATATACACACACACACACACACATACGTATACATATACATATAATACACTAGATTTAATCAAAGCTGAGACCCTGTAAATGAAACAAGCGTACCTCTGTGCTACCGGCGTCGAGGGTGGGGGCGGCTGTGCGGACTGGACTTCAGCCTGAATCGTGGTCTCGGGTCTTGAAAGGGGAGGAGTTGGCGCCGCCAGGGCAGAGTAGAGGAGGGGCTTGTGGGAAAGGGGGCAGGGCCTGTTGGCCCCAACGGGGAATTTGGAAGCGGCTTTTCGGTGCTGGAGGACGCTGTCCAGGGTTTTCACGTAGCTGGAGCTTTTGACGGGCAGCTGATAGGCCACCGAGTCCTCGGAGTTTGTGGAGAAGGCGGCGGCGCGCTCGCTGATGTACTGAGCCTCGCTCTCCAGGTACTCATCCAGCATGTTGCTGCAGAACGCGGAGAGGTTCTTCTGGGATCCTTTGGGAGACGATTGAAGACACTTTAATGCACCAGCTCAGGAGAAATGAGACAATTACAGTTCAGTTCATCACTGCACAATTAGTACTGTAGCTTCAAGAAGCTCACCTTCACAGTTAGAAGGAGACGTTTCTTTGTTTCTTGTGAACTTGTCTCTCCATCCCTTTATTTGTGTCATGTCACTTGTCTTTCCTGTCCGGGAGATGAAGGACGCACCTTTGTCTGTGAAAGAAATCAATCCAATACCATTCCATTGCCAAAGAAAACCACATTTATTTAAGTGTACAATGTGTTCATTACGGCCGTCGGAGGTGCAATAAAAGAAACATTTTGAAGATGTATTTTCTTTGGTGGGCACCAAACGGCAACAGGACAAGCTGTGCTGACAAAGTGCTCTGAGATGGTTGAGCTGCCATCAACCAATTAGCAGAGCTTACAGAGCGCACTTATGAGAACCCCTTAGAACAGTTCATCCCACAGATTGCAAAATTTCTCTCATTGTCTTTAATTTAATAATTATATCGGCAGCACACCTTTGAAGACGATGGAGGGGGTATGAATGTTGGTATGGTTTTGATCATTATTGTCTAATTACAACATTTCATCTGATTGCTAGCGTACATTAAGGTTGTTTTACTGACGAGGAGATAAATGAGATGTTAATGCCACCTAAATGCATTCATTTGGTCTTCTCCTCACACACTCCTCCTCCAGACGGATTAAGGAGAAGAGCGTTCCTACAATAAACATGCTCGTACTGTCACAGATCAGTCCAACTCACCACCAGGACACGGAGCCACGGCCTCGCTTATTTCTGGCAGGTTTGGGGCAGAAAGTGGCAGCTGAACCCCGAGATACTGCAGGTCGATGGACATCATCGGGTCCAACAAGCTCAACTTCATGCCCACTAGAAAATGGACAGAGAGGAGAAAGATAGCACTCAGTACTTTATTACTTTGTCCGACCTACCCGACCGCAGGGGTGTGTGTGTGTGTATCTGTGTGTGTGTGTATATGTGAACTCACCCTCCTGCAGCACAGGATGGATGACTTGTCTGTGCTTGAGAAGCCTGAGGTCCTGCAGCAGGATGGCTTCCAATCGTCCAATCGTCTCCTCATCAGTCTCCGGAATCACATCCACTGCAATGTTTTCCACACATGACACCATTGTTTGTTCGATTAGGAGGCGACGGGAGGTTAATGCAGGATTTTAATGAGGCAACACCACATGTACTGCAAGTTGCCGGACGTGAGCCGGATGAAAGATGTCTCTGCATCGCTTACCTCTCTCCTTCCACTCCATCGGTGTCATTGGAGAAACAACTGGTGTGCCATTGGCTGGCTTGTCCCCGACGTGTACCTCAAGAGCTTCCTGTCACACAGAAGCCAGTCAAAAGCTTTAAACACCCTGCAAAGCCTTCACTACTGTGCACCTAAACATTATTTTGCTATGCAACAACAAACCCCCATTAGATAACAGCACAACATATTCTGTGGCCATTAAAAGCATTCTACTCAATTTTCTATGGTTTTTACCTTTGAGGTAAATGACACAAACAGCAGGCCCTCTACATCATCCAGCTCTGGTTGCATAGCGACAGTCAATGACGGGCTGTGGAATACCGTGGGGGAGGCAGCTGCAGCTTTCCACTCTCTACCCCTCGAATTAGTCCAACGTCTATTGATCTTCTTCCTCCTCCTGTGGTTCCCGGGCGATGATCCCTGGATCGGCGTTGAGGTGGCAGGGGCGTTGGTTATCGCAGTAAAGGGTTCTTCCATGGGCTCCTCCGTGGGTTTCTCCGTGGGGTCAACAAGTGGACGTTTTTGGACAAGCACAAGCTCGCCAAGGGAATGCTTGCCTCTTAAACAGGGGACATACGGGTCGTCCCCGGTGGAGGGAGACATGATGGGCTTCAGGACCAGTCGGGTCACTTGCTCATTTGAGAAAGCAGAGGTCTTTGTGCTGTAAGACAGTAACAAAAAGTTGTTTTTGGAGTCCAAAAGACTAAAAAGTAAAAAATAATGATCATATTAACTTGTGATGCCACGCTATGTGGGAATGTTATTATGAGAAGGTAATTCCAGCAGTTTAACTGATGTAAGAGTTTACGTCTGTTGACGCGTTCTTGGATATCATGTTTAAATCCTAATATTCCCCAAATGCTAAATCTCATAATACAATCACGGGTAACAAAGGCAGCAAGAAAGACACAAAGTTGGCTTCGGGGGCTTGCTGACTTTGAGCCATCGGTGACAGACGATCGGCCCAACCGGATCTCTGTAACTCAATCCACAACCGCAGCCCTGCGATAAATGCTGACTGGAACTCAATGTAATCCATAATTTGGGGTTGGAAATTCAAAACAGGTAGAAATTCAAATCAATGTTCTCTTTTGAAGGCAGACTCATGTGGTGGTGTTAAGCAAATGTCTTCTTTCAGTTTCCCTTAAAAACTCTGCACTGGACTCCAGCATGTACATAATGTGAGATGTTCCGGTTATTCCAACTGTCCAACACAAATATTGCAGTTTCTTAGAGTGATGTGAGATGTTTCATTTCTTTAGATAAACACTGCGGTCGATGTTACTTCCGATTTTATGTGAAGCTGCAAACAGCAGTGGATGTTCGCGTGCCATTATTATAATAGGATTGTTTCTTTTTTCAGGTATAATTTGGCTTAATGTCTTTGTGGCTTTACTTAGCCTACTTCTTCCTTTTAAAACGCCTCATGTAAAAGGTGTATTAGTAATTCCCTGCAAACACTAAACACGTGGTGCATAAATTATTGTTAATATTCTGAGGCCACATGTGGGTACACCTACTAAGGCAAATACAACCCAGTGCACCAGCTCTGTCACATTGTCTGCATGTACCAGTTCCTAATGGCCATTTTTTGTTAAACTCAAGTTAATCCAATGATTTGGTTATTACGCTTGTTGTGCTGTACTACATGATATTGAAATGTGTGTCTCACATTGCTCCACCCTCACGTCTGTAAATGGGGAGAGCAAAAGATTAGAGACACCTCAAGAGGACGGCTGGCAAGAAGGTGTTGACTTTAAAACACATTATCTGCTAAATCCACAAATTAATTCTTTAATTTAGGAAAATACACAGTGGATAATAACTTATGACCTCTTTTTCTCCCAGAGAAAAGGGGAATTATATTAATATTTTTTCAAGGAATGTGATCTATTTCTTTCCTCAGCAAAATATTAATATAATTCCTTTTTTTCTGTCTCTCAAAAATAGATGCTTGGATTTTTCTGCTGGGTCTCCCTCTGAGATGTGTCACTCCCCCGTCCTTCTGCTACTTTGTGGTACTGGATATAGAGACCTCTTAGGTTATGTGTTACCTCCAGGGAGGACCAGCTGTGTGATTAAACGGTAATAACCCGTCATTTGTGAACATTAAGAAGTCCCTTGTTGTCTGTTATTTACTTCTACCGAGGTCAAAAGTACAACTACGGGATCTTTACGGTCACTTCCATGTGGCTTTGTCGGCATGCATGTTGAAACTACAACCATTAAAAATAAACATCTAGTTAATTGAATACCTGCAGGACAAGATTAATCAAAACTGGACATTATCATCGCAAACGTTGAGGTATTGGATTGCTTTGGATTATACCAATGCAGCTTTAAAGCGGCGGGCGTACACCAATGTGTTGCATGCAAAACAAATAGATTATAAACTCACCTCAGATCCACAACCTTCTCCTTTTCCTTATTGTTTATGGACTCTTGTGTTCGGAAAAAAAGGTGAATATTGGGCTCCGCGGGTGTAAAACTAGGAGACTGAGGTTCCGTCACCGCCACAGATTTCGCCTCAGCAGCCTGAGCCAATCGGCTCAGACGGGGGTTGTTCCCGTCATCCCTGAAGCCTTTTGCAAACGGATTGTGATTAATTTTCAGCTGGGTGATCCGAAAGTTCTGATAAGTGGTCACGGCCATGAATTCGGTTTGCGGAAACGTAAACGTCATGCTCTCCGGGCCCATAACGACCGGCTGAGCGGGCGAGGGCGCGTTCCCGTCCGGGACGGGTATAACATGCAGCCGCGGAATGTAGCGATGCAGGGAGTGCAGGACCGCGTAGCCGTCGAGGTCTTGAGGTTGATTGGTCAGTTTGAGCTTGTAGAAGGACACCAAGGTGTTCATCCACTCCGTGCCCAGGCCGGGCGAGTAATGGTGGGCAAAGGCCCGGCTCAGACACTGGCCCTGCTGCTCTGCTCGTCCGGTGATTTCCCACTTGGTTGAGCTCCAGCGGTACTTGTACTTGTTGGATGGAACGATGGAAAGGACCAAACTGTACTGTCGATTGGGATCCAGGCCCGACAGGCGATATCGGCAGTACGGGAACATGCGGCGCCCCTGTTTCGTGAGAATCATCTCCGTCCCGCAGCTGTAGAACTGCTCCCACACGCTGTTGTTCTCCAGAGTGACAGTGACGCCCTTGAAGGTCAGCACCGAGGGATATTTCTTCCCCGCGCCCGGCTTGCCATACGTGGTCGACGGTAACGCGGACGGCGGTTCAGACGCGCTGCCAGGGCTCGACCCCGTGGCCTCCAGGGAGTCCGACGCCGACGCCATATGTGAGGTAGCTGGGCTGGTGTCCGCGGCCCCTTCGGAGGCGGTGGGCGGCGCTGCGGCCGGCTTGGCCGGGCTCGCTTCAGCGGGTGACGAGCGAGCGGAGGCGCAGTCGTTGCTCGCCACGGAGACGGCTTTCGTCGCCATCGGCGTCTCGCGAGGGAAATGATTAGGTCCCGCGGTGGTCGGATCATGAGGAGTTGAGGAAGGGACGGCCTTAGGAGGAGTGTTAGTGGAGCTCCCTTCCGATTCCTCCAATGCACGGGGCTCCTCCATCGATGTGGGGTCAGAGTCTGTGGCGGGCATCACGAATGTCCGTCCTTCTTCATTAGATACCTGAGGAGAAAAAACAGCAACAATGTTAACCAGCACAGCCATTTTTTCTAGGTAGAATACACATTTCAGAGCTAATTAAATATAAGGGCTATAATCAGACAACGGCATAAGACAGACAATAAAATGACAAACAACTACAAGCCAAACAAAACAATAACATAGCACCCAAGCACAGCAAATAGCATATATGCTACAACGTAGCAGTGACAATTTAGTAAGCTTGGAAACAACCCTAGTATTTTTTTTTTACTAAATACTTTCAAATTTACAATGAAGAAATTCTTAAAATATATATTTATATATATTTGATTTGTCAGGAGCTGCAAATATCCAGCTAGCTGTCGCAACACGGTGCTGCCAGTAAACAGAACACCATCTAAAGCTGATAGTTGCGTGGATGCTCCGTAGGTTTTAGAGCATACAGACATTTCAAGATGTCTGCTCTGCATGATTTAATTGAAACGCTCATTGTGTCAAAACCGTTGCATCAAAGCAGAGCAACTTTAGGACGTGCCGCACGCTCCTGAAAAATAAATCAGCACCTAATGGAGAATATTATCATTTATTTACAGCCACGGGCCATATTATACGTGATCCCTCTATGAGCTATGAACTGGTTCTAGCGAGTAAGGATATTTTTAAATATGCATTTATGAACTATATCTAAAGCTATGCAAACCATAGATATATATATATATATAGTAAATCATGCTTTGTCACTGTGCAAGTGTGGCATCACCTTGAGAAGTGGGTGATGTGTTGCACACTCACAACACCGCCATACTACAGAATAAAAGTCGAGAGGCCCCAACCAAACATATTGACACAAGTGAAAAGACAACAACACCCAAACGCATCTTCCTTAAAAAAAAAAAAAAAACACGATCTGACCAAAAGTGTGTATAATGTCGAATGGCACAACGCGTGTGTTTATTTTAAAGTTGAACACACACACACACACACACACACACACACACATCACCTCGAGGTGACGAGGACTCGGGTCTTCGGGAGGTGTGCCGACCAATAGCCGGCCTGCAGTCACACCGCCGGGGACCCGCGATGGCCGAACGCCTCGAGACAAAAGCTCGTGTTTCTAAGTGTCCATGACAACACAGAACACCAGGACGTTGCGTTAAAACGTCTCCGCCGTCTCTGTCCCCCCCAGATGAAACCAATGTCCGCCGGGGGGGGGCAGAGGACAAGCTAGTACCCTAACCGGTTTGGTCGTCGTCCCGTCGCTCTCTTGGTCCGTTCGGTGCTCACACCAACACAGATGCTCTCGAAAAAAAAAGAAAAGAAAGGTGTTTACCGGCCGAACGGGCGCGTTAGACCCGCGTGTTCACCGCGCGGACTCCCGGCCGCTTTCACGCTGCTCTTAATTTACCCCCCCCCTGAAAAAAAATAATAATAATAACAAGTTGTCGTAAAACGGCTGTTCCGCGGAGGGTGGAGGCCGCCGCTGCGCCGCCCGCCAAGTTGGAAAAGTTGTGTGTTTCACCCATCGGCTCACCTTTCGTCGTCGGGTCGAACGCCTCGTGGCCCCGCGACGTAACGTCAACGTTTCGCGTCAGGAACTCCGAAACTGTTGCGTCGCCGCCGCCGCCGCCGTCGGGGTGGGTGGTGTTGGTGTTGGTGTTGGTGGTGTTGGCGGTGGCGGTTAGGCTCCGGTGAAACCCTTCGAACGTGAACACGAACCGGCAAATGGAGGCCGAGAGCCACGCCAGCGCGCGTGTGTGCGCGTCTGTGTGTGTGTGTGTGCTCGAGCGACCTGAGCGTGCGCGCTTGCGAAGCAAACAACAAAAAAAAAAAAAGCGCATGCACAAGATCTCAGCGCCCCCCTCGCGCTCTCTCTCTCTCTCTCTCTCTCTCTCTCTCTCTCTCTCTCTCTCCCTCTCTCTCTCTCTCTCAATGGCGCGTGATTCCCGGGTCGCCAGCGCGAGGAAAGCGGGAATCGACCATCCCGGAGATTTTTTTTTTTTTTTTTTTCTCGCGTGCAACTCTCACCAAGTTTGCGTAAAAATTGTTTCTGTTTTTCTATATTTCCTGATCACGAGGAGCAGTGATCCGGGACTCTAAATCCTCTTCCCTTTCGTTCGCATTTCCTTCACTTCTTCATACCTCTTTTTTGTTGTTGTTGTTGTGTATTCTC